TTTTAGCTCCTCCGCGTCAGCCCTTCCCCACAAGTGACTCAAGGCGCACGCCGATCAAAACACGGTCGTGCTCTCCGGCGACGAAGCCAACTGCACCTCGCGGTTATAGGCAGGGGGTTAGTGACTTGGATGTGTTTCAGCCAGGGTCCACGTGTCCATTTCGATATTGTTATTTAAGGAAAAAGAATGGGAACCGAAGGCGGATAATCGGATAATGCTGCTCGAACACGGAGCGGGTAAGAGAGAAAAATGCCTCGTCGGAGTAATTAGTGCTGCGTCTGTCCTAGGTGCGGGCGCCGTGCATCCCCATCCCGCCTGCGCTTTCCAGGCGCATCCGCCGCTCACTTCCGTTACGGTACCACATTTAGCCCGGACTTGGTTCAATAGGGTTCAATAGGGCTAATGCAGAGGCTCTGACCTCGCTGCCCGTCCCCGCGGGCCTCGAAACCCAGCGCTGAACGGGTACAAAGCGGCGAGAGACCCTTGGGAGCCAGAGCATCACTGGGCACCTCACGTGTTGTCACCTCCCCGTCCCGCTCTTGCCCTGTCTGTGTCCACAGAGAACAGGCTCAAACTGCCGGCGCGTTTGCTCTGTTTTCCCAAGCTTCCATCCTCCGGATGAGTGGTCTGGGGGGAATTGGCTCTGGAGGAGGTCAAGCCTCAACCGCACTCGGCTTCGGGGCTCGCGAGGGGCCTCTCCCTCCCTGGCGGCTCCCTTTGCACCTGGGGCAGCTCCTCCTCCCAGGCCCCCATCCCAGGCAGGGGCCGCGGAGGATCTCGTCCGCGGAGGCTTCCGGATTACCCCGAGCTGTGGCACTCGCGACACTTCCTATTACTCAGTTCCTTTTTCAGCCCTGTGTATCTCTGCGTGCGTTTCAATTCCAAGAGTTGTGTTGAGAGCTGATCCGATGGCGGCGGTTTTGTGCACTTTATTCTACAGCTACCCTTTAATGTGGGAGAGGATAGTTGGATGTTCCCGCCTGTTATCTCAGTATCCCAAGTTTATAGCACTTTGCAGGCTGTTGCCACATGGATTTGGCCCAGGCAAAGTGTCCCCGCAAGCCGCCCGGAGCCACCACGTTGCTCGTGGCCAATAGCTCCCGGCTTGTCCCGCGGTCCCATGGATGTCAGGACAACCCTGGCTTTTTGCGGCAAGCGGATTCCTTAAATCCAGCTGTGCTTGCACTGAGATTGCTGCGGATCTGAGAGCAGATGTGGCCATGCCAGGCCGGGGGACGTGGGGATCCCTGGATTTGGGATGCAGCAATTGGGAAGGTGAGAGCCTGGTGCTTATAGCATCCGAAGCCTTGATCCAAGACCCCTGGGTCTTGATGGACCCCCATCCTCCTGGGAAAGCTGCCACCGGAAGCACAGAGGGTTTCGTTCCCCACACCAGTTGTTTTTGGCTTGAAACCATGAGTTTCTCCTTCCTCCTCTTTCCTGGAAGAGGGAAACACTTTTCTTCCCCCCGCAGCTTCTTCCTCCCAGCCCGACAGGGTCAGGGGAGGTTTCCTGAGCTCAGGACACATCAGCTGCGGTGACGCTGTGCCCAGGGGACAACGCAGCACTGGCACCTTGGACCAGGGCCCTTGCTGAGCCCAAGCTGCATCCTGCGCCGCGCTGCAGGAGAAACCCTGGATCCAGGGCTTGTGTGGCCCATCCGCCTCCAGCGGGACGGCCACCTTGGAGCAGCTGGGGCGATGGGCTCCCAGCATCCCAGCTTTGCAAATCCTGCAAAACCTTCTCCTTGGGCTGGTTAGTGGAAGCAGAGATGTGACCGGGAGAGGGTGGAGCAGCCGCAGCAGCGAAAACATCAGCAGCGCCCTTTGGGGTTCAGCTTTCATGCTCGGCTTAGAAATGGAAAAAAGGGGGTTTCCTGGCGGAGGAAGGAGCTTTCCAGCAAGCTGCCCTTCCAGTTCTCCAACCAGTCTTGGAAGTGGCCTCGGTTGCCCCCGTTTGACCTTCTGAGGGCTCCTTGCTCCCACATCACTCATTTCAGCACCGTGCAGACTTGCTCGCTCCGGAGAGCCAAGAGCACCCAAGGGCTCCGGGGCGGAACAGCGCGAGGGAGGGAGCAGCCCGGGATGGAGGAGACCCCGGATCGCAGGACAGGGGGACGAGGTCCGGGTGCGTGAGCGGATGCGTCGGCAGCCGCTCCATGGGGCTCGGGGTACGGGTACAGGGGGGGGAGAGCCGCAAAAGGGCTCAGGAGCTCCAGGTTTGGGGTTTCCTTTGCCGTCTTTCCCAAACAGGAACTTGGCTGGAGCTTAAGCAGTTTCCTCCAAGAGAAGGCAAATGCCCAAGCAGGATTTCAGTGTGGGTGAAGAGAAAACAGGTACCTGCTGGCATTAGTGGGCAGGAACCCCAGAAAGGACGGGGAAGGCTTCATGCAAGCGCTGCAAAACAAGACGGAGGAAAGAAAGAGCAAGAACACAAGTGTCGGCAAGTTGGCCGCGGTTCTCGGAGCGAGGCGAGGGCTCGCGGAGGGGTTTGGTGCTGCAGAACCGCCTTGTCCGGAGGGTTCCTGCGCCGTGCCGGTCCCGCGGGACGTGAGCGGCTTCGGCATCGCCAGGTGCTCATCGCCCCCGGGGTGGTCGCGCCGGGTGCAGCCACCCGCAATTCGCCACCTTTTCCCCTCTGCAAGGAGCTAAATATCCCGCCGGGAGCTCGTTCCCCTGCACGGGGCAATTCCCCGGCTCATTACCCTCAAGCCTCTTAAGATGTTACCCAAAATTGCCATTAATGACCCCGCTGCCCGCAGATGTGCTGCTGCCCGCCCCAGTCAGAGGCACCGGCCTTTCCCGCTGGAGCCGACCAGCCAGCCCTGCCGCCTTTCCAGGTGTGCATCCCCACATTGGAGCATCCCACGTGGAGCAACATCCCGCAGGGAGCTGCCCCGTGCTGGCACCCGCCGCGGTGCCGGGTTATCCCTCTGTTGGCTCTAGCCCCTCGCGCGGCCAGGACAGGCCCCGGTTCCCTGTCGCCAGCGGCTGCGTCGCGGGCGGCAGCATCAGCGCCGGGCAGGAAAGCTCCTCGGGGGCATCCGCTCGCGGCACCACGTGCGGGCGGCACCGGCAGCCACGCGCTCCACAGGGCGCCCGCGGCCTCCCTCGCCCCGCGGGGACAAGGGGACAGCGGTGTCCCCAGCGCCCGCGCGGTGCCAGCCCCTATGGGGGATGCGCCGCCTTGTGAGTGCTTTACTCAGAGCTAAAGGGGAAAAAAGGAGGGCTAAAAATAGCTCCGAAAACTTCCTGTGCCGCTGCCAGGTGGCCGGGGTGGCCGCACGCGCCAGCGCCGCCGCGTTCCCAGGAGCGCTCCTGGCCTGGGAGCTGCCCTGTCCCACAGGGATGCGGGAGACCGAGTCCTTATGAGGTCCGGGAAGGAGGAGAGCGCGGCGGCTCCTTGAGGAAAAGCTGCCGGAGGCGCTGGGCGTTATTAGCCGCTGGGGATCCAGGAGCAGCGCGCTTGCTCTCCTGATCCCGGCCTGGCTCCGGATCCTGGTTCCAGGCAGGCAGTGGGAAACGGTGCCTCTCCCAAGGCAGCCAGGCAGTCATGGATTGCTGATGGCTCCACATAGGCCTGGGATGAGAATGTGCTTGGAGCTGCTCCCAGCCCCCGGCGCATCCTTGTGCCGTTGCTGTGGGACCTCAGCTGAGATGGGGAAGGATTTTTTGGGATATCCCCTCATGGGGGTCTGCGG